ATATATATATATTGATATTACATCAGCCAGTTGTTGTTCTGTAGCACCATGTTCCTTCATGTTAGTAGAGAGTATCTGTACTCTTAATTGTTTTTCTATCATACGTTTATTATTGGTTAGTTCATTCTCTCGCCTTTTTATAATGTTATATAATGCTTGACAACAATGCTCAATTTCCATTTGGACAGTTTTAGTCAGATCAATGTAAAAATGGAAAAGTCCTTTTGTTGGTGCTGTCAAAGTTCCAATCTTTTTTATCTCTTGCATCTGTATATAATTCTCTTGTGCCAAAATATATGTTATGCATTTAGCTTCTTTTGCTGGAATCATTGCTAATTGCTGAATTTGGTCTAGGTTAACATTTTTTTCAATGCGCACTAATCTAAAATCATAGAAAAATTGAGCAGTTATATAAAAATATATGATTATGTATTTGCTCTTCCTTGTAATGAAATAAAACTTTGGATTTATTAGATATTTATCCTTGCCTGAAAATTCTTGCAGCCTTGGAACCAAATCTTTCTGTTACGATACTTTCTATGGTTGTCCATACCAACTGTTCAAATGCATTTTTCATATTAATACTGTATTGCCCTCCACCAGAATCACCAACTCGTTTAATAAATTGGCTACTGTCTTCTTCTATAAGTCGCAGGTATTGGTCAAGATACTGTTCAAGCTCTGAATAATTCAATTTTTTCGTTTCTTCTTTTATTTCAGTAAATGGTATTGGATTTGATGTAGCTGCCCAAGGTGCAGTACGCAAATACATCAAATTGATTAACTGTCTCATTAATTCTCCAGCATTCATGTCAAATCTTTCCGTCATGGCTGATATAACAATTTTATCCCTAATATAAATTATATATAAGTTATATATTAACATTTTTAATAATAATCCAGGCTTAAATTAGCAGTCTTACCTAAAATCTTGTGTAAATCGGTCAAAATTGACCTTCCAATACAGTCCATTATCTCCAGGATTGGCATTTTGTCCTTGCAACATGTTAGAAATGGCTTTCAAATCAAGTTGTGGTAAGTTATAATTGGGTTTTTCAGTATTTTCTGTCATTGTATT